AAGGACTTGAGAGAATAAAGGTGTGGTCTAAGACTTCATATTTCAGCATCCTCAATGTTCCTACCTTTGTTTGCTCTTGTCCTTCCCAGGAGATAACATTTAGATTATTAGTATAATGAAAAGTTCACTGATATCTCATATGTAATCAGTGGCAGGTGGTGTGTAGAGGGCATTGGGACATCAAAGCACATAAGCACACACATATACATACATATGCACGCACGTGTGTGTGTCACTAAACTAATCACAGACACAGTAAATCTATAGGAGCCTGCTATATATTTGCTTTGTTCACAATTCATATTTAGCAGCAAGTTGTTCTTCTCCACCCGTCCTGTGGCACATGTCCAATCTGCACAGTCAAGGTCGGACAGGAGTAGCAGATATTTCCTGTAGGGCCTGGGGCATTAGATTCACTGCTTAAGCCACAGGCTTCCACACCCCTCCAATCATCAGGATGGACTCCAGGAGGCAGGTAGGTCCAAGGGCACAACACAAGGGGAAGCCAGACACCCCTCTTTCCCACACCCCAGACATAGTGGGAGCAGAGAGAGGGAAAAGTCTCGCTCATTTCTGGCCTTTCTGGTGGGAAGGGAGTGGGAGAGGTCACAGACAGTACCACTCCTCCTCCCCCTCCCAATCCCCTGCTTCCCCAGCAGTGCCAGGCCAGGGCGGATGGCACGCAGTAGCAGGTTAGCAGAGAAGGAGTTGGGATGCTGCAGTCAGGACCAAGCCAGGAAGTGTTGGGGTCTGAGCCCCCAGGAGCACAGGCCAGGTCCACCCAGGCAGTGCAGACCCCTGCAGGGAGCAGGATCCGGGCACAGGACAGGCTCTGTAAGGAATCAACCCCCTGAACCCTCTTGCTGCTTCTATCTTCTTCCCAACTCCCCCAACTACAACCCTGCTCCTCCCAGCTGTGCAGGTAAAGCGCCCCACTTGCCCCAAAATTCACCAGCCACCACAGTACATAACCAGGCTGTGGTATATTATGTGACCTCTTTAAAGGCATTAAATCCCAGTGCTCCATAGCAGCGACTGTTCTCTCAGAGAAAGGGTGGTCTCATGGACTAGGATGCAGTATATCTGGGTTCAGTTCCAAGCCATTGACTTCCTGTGTGACCTTAGCAAGTCACAATCTCTCTCTGCCTCAGTTTGCCAACTCTGAGGGGAGATTGTAATACTCCATTCTTCTTCACCTTCTCCTGTCAGTCAGGGTCGGTAGCTCTTGTTCTTTGTCTCCAGTCATTCCTGTCAAGTGTTCCTTCCATGCTGACACCAGCCTTCAGGAGGACATGAAACTTCTCGAACCACCTTTTCCTGGGTCTTCATCATGGTCCTTGTCCAGTGACTAGAAGACCTCATACTCTGTGACCGACACAACTCCTTGGCCATAACAGCTCTTCAGGAGCTTCCATCTTGTTTATATAGATCAAGTTCTTCAGGGTGGGGACTATCACTGTGCATTTGTATGTTTAGGCTCCATAGGCACTACTGTAATATAAATAAATAATTTCCCCTCCTTATTTTGTGTCTAGGCGCTCTGTCTTATGCAGACCTGGGAACAAGCATCACAAAATCTGGGGGCCATTACATCTACCTCCTAGAAACCCTTGGGCCTTTGCCAGCCTTCTTAAGATTGTGGGCTGAATTTGTTATGATCCGGTAAGAACAGTTCTGCGTTTCCATAGGTGTGTAAGGACAGGAGTGATATGTCGTTGCTGATTTGTATTTATAGACTCCTCTCTTTAAATCTCTAATTGGGGCAGAGTCCAGCTGTGCAGCTAAAGGAGCCAGCGGGTGAATGCAAAACAGTAGCAAACACATGGACTTTCAAATGGCTAGAGGGAGGATAGAGGGAAAGAAGGGGGGAAGTGGGAACCTAAGACAGGGAAACGGAGGGGGGAAAGGAGGCAGAGGAGGGAAATGAAAAGGTAAAAGGTAAAAAAAAAAAAAAAAGATGAGATGAAGAATAAAAAAATTAAAAACAAGGAACAGCTTGCAGCAACCGTGGTAATGAGATAGATGGACATTTTCCTGCAATCTGCCAACACAGCTGGGTTTTCTGGAAAAAGGCTCCTTAGAAATCTGTTTGATATGTGACCTCCTCCTCTCCCATCCGCCCCCCTCCAATAGCTGCTGGATAAACAAATGTTTGCCACAGCACATCTGGGTGTGGCTATGAGGTCTGCCACCATGGAGAATGAGATCACAGCTTACGCAACTGAACCCCTGCAGAACTGGGACAAAGTAACCAACCTCCTTACTAAATGGGTACAATATATATTAAAAAACAAACCATTGTTTAGCCTGTTAACCTTGCCTGTGTTTATGGCCATAAAAAATGAGAGAGGTCACAGGCTGAATGGAAATAGATAGGCATGAAAGGATATTTCAGACTCCATCCGTCTAAATTCTACATAGCCCCCCATCAGCAAAGCAGCCCCAGTTCCTGGGTGATACCTCCAGGTCTGGAGGGAGAGAGAAGAGCACTGGTAGGGGGTGGGGTGTGTACAGCCACTGCCTCACACGGCACAACACATTTTATTTCATGGGCACTGCATGTCACCGCACTGTGTGTGCTCTCTAGCTCTTTTTCTGTGGTTGGGGCCTGGGGAGAAGGCCTCAGATTCTCACCTCAAGGTTACCACTTCAAATCCCCTCCTAGGGAAGCAGCAATTGAAAAACAGTCCCACTCTAATGGCTCTTCAGCGACCTCATGGTGGTGTGTTAGTATCATCAACCCATTTCCTACACAAAGTAAAGATGGTCCAGTGGGTAGGGCACTCGGGGACGGCTCTGGCTTTTTTGCCGCCCCAGGCAAAAAAGCCTTTCACCGCCCCCCCCCCCGCCGGGGAGCGCGGCAGGGGAGGACGCCGAGCCCGGCCGCGGCCCCGCTCTCCTCCCGGCGCTCCGGCTGGCTGGGGAGGGCGGCGAGCCCCAGGTGAGTGCCACCCCTCTCCA